CAGGGAGTACTTGCGTTCTCCAGCCCCGTTGTACTGCCTCGCCTGCCAGATCTGAATATTTCAGCCTCTTGCGTTCATATGCTTCCCCAACTGCAGCCTCCCATGGTACAGTTAGTTCCACAATATATAGGGACTTTTGTGAGGCTGACCACAAAATCAAATCCGGCCTGAGATTGGTTGCAACAATATACAAGAAATACAAGCTTCTGGTCAAGATCAACTTGCATTTTCCAATCCCTGGATGCATCCAATAAGCATGCTTCCCTTCTCACGGTTGGATTCCTTCGGTCTTGTCCTGCTGGTACGAAGGTAGTAGTGTAATTGATGCCAGAGGTTGGGGGAGAGAGTGCATTGGTGGTAGCCCTCCTCCCGTCTAGTATTAGAGCCAGTTGCCGGAGGACCTGGTTGTGCCTCCAGGTATACCGTCCTTGGGTGAGGCTTGTTCTGCAGCCGGTGAGGATATGTCTTAGGGTTGCTGGTGTTTGGCAGAGTGGACATGCTGGGTCTTCTCCAAACCACTGGCTCAGATTCTTAGGAGTGGGAAGGACATCATAGATGGCTCTAATGATGAAACTAAGTCTGCTTCCTTCCATCTCCCAAACATCCCTCCATGTGATTTTTCGATGCTCCAGATTTTCCCATCTCGTCCATTGGCCCTGTTTGGCCTGTGAGACAGCCATTGCACATCTTTTTGCCTCTTCCTGGTGACGCACCTCTGCTACTACAAGCTTTCTTCTCTGGCCGAGTGTTGCTTTGTGCCATGTAGGTCTGCTTGTTCCGAGACCAAGACCACCTCTTCCATGCTGCACCTGGCCTACAATGTCCCCATGCCTGAGAGTTGACTTTGCCTGTTGTACAGCCTCAGTTGGGGTCCACTTCCTCCATGTTGCCAACCTGGGAGCAGCCGCTCGTATTGTGGAGTCTTGGGATTCGGTCAGGGTCATGTCCAGTCTTACCTTGGCGCATTTGTACTCCTCAGCCAGGCTTGTGACCGGCAGTTCCAGCACGCCAATTCCATACAAGCCAATATTGCTGAGACAACGTGGCTGACTGTTCTCTCTAGCTTCTCTACTTTGGTGACAGGAACCTCATAGACTGTCAGAGGCCACATTAGACGGGGGAGCAATCCAAACTGGAGGCTCCACAGTTTCAACCTGGAAGGAGGGTCTTGTCTATGTTTACAAGGCCATTGATGGTTTCTTCCCTCAGTTTTTCGCTTTGGTCAGAGTCCTTGAGGCTTGAGTTGTACCAACGCCCTAAGCTTTTAACTGGCTTCTCTGACACCATTGGAATGGGTTCTCCGTCGATATGGAATCTCTGGTCTGTGAGTTTTCCCTTCACAATGGAGATACTCCTGGATTTGCTGGGTTTGAACTTCATCTGTGCCCATGTTATGTTTGAATGAAGCTTTTTTTAGCAGCCGTTTCGTGCATGCAACGGTTGATGTCAGGGTGGTCATGTCATCCATATAGGCACGGATAGGAGGTAGCTGCTGTCCCGACTTCAGACGTTCTCCTCCCACCACCCACTTAGATGCTCTGATGATCAGCTCCATTGCCATGGTGAAGGCTAATGGGGAGATGGTGAACCCTGCCATTATTCCTATTTCCAAAGATTGCCAGGATGTAGTGAACTCTGATGTTGTGAGGCAGAACTGCAAATCTTGGAAATAGTTTCTGACCAGTTTGGTGATGGTCTCTAGAACGTGGAAGAACTCAAAGGCTGTCCAGAGGAGAGTATGAGGGACAGATCCAAAGGCGTTGGCTAGGTCCAGGAATAAGACATGAAGATCTCCTTCCTTTTTCGCACCTTGAATCTGATGCCATATCATGGATGTGTGTTCTAAGCATCCCGAGAAGCCTGGTATACCAGCTTTCTGTACTGATGTATCAATTAAGCTGTTCATTTTCAGGTAGGCTGTCATCCTTTGTGCAATGATGCTACAGAAGATTTTCCCTTCGACATTCAGAAGGTTGATTTGCCGGAACTGGTCGAGGCTTGAAGCATCTTTTTCTTTGGGGATTAATACACCCCCTGCTCTTCTCCATGCTTTTGGGATGTTTTGCTTCTTCCATGCCACCTTGATTTGTTTCCACAGGAATCTGAGGATATCTGGAGTGTTCTTGTACAGCCGGTATGGAACACCTTTTGGTCCTGGAGCTGAAGCTGTCCTGGCCTTCTTCACAGTTTTCTCAACCTCACTCCATCTAGGAGGGCTGTCGTCAAACTGATGTTGTGGTTGAGGAATAGGGGGCATGTCCGGAGGTATGACCCTCTGCTCATGTCTCTGGCTGTCAGTGTGAATTGTTTTTAGGTGATCTTCAAGTTCCATTTTTGACACCTTGAGTGTTCCACTCTTGTCCTTTGTGAAGAGATCTTTCACAAATCTAAAGGGATCCTTGTAGAAAGATGTCATAAAAAGGGAATTTTTTATGTTAACTGCTGCTCAATTACAGTTTTGGTTGCTTTTAGAGTGCCAGTAAAAATCACCACTTTACACAATGGGCAGCACATATGTGTGCACAAGGTGTGTATGTTTGTTAAGAATGAGTGTGTGAGAGAGATAACGACAGCAAAGCCGCATTAGATGTAGCCACATGTTTGTGTGTGAAACATCTCCGTGTTGCAGTCTTGTGAAATGTCAGCGCCCCCTCCCATCTGTTCCCCCCACATGTAGCTTCAAGGAGGTCAGCCTTCGTCCTCCTCCGTGGCATTTACAGCTGTTGTCTCTTCACCCCCACCCACACATACACACACCCCCAAATACCTAAGTGCTGTCACATATATTCAACTAGAATTATTCAATTGCAACAAGTCTTTTATCCAATTACTGTACAACTGTAGCACAAGACCAGTTTTGTAAAACGAAGGCAGGTCCAGAAATAACACATTTACCATGTTGTGGTTCCAAAGTTTGGTAGAGGCCTTAAGTGGGTAGAATTCCATTTTTCTTCCATCTTATACTGACATTTATTTATCCTAAAAATCCTTAATTACATAGAAGGATAGTTAATATAAACAGCTTACCTATGTCTTTCAAACTCCATAAGAACAAAGGCTTGATTACAATTAGACACCCATGCATTAATTGGGTGGATTCAGAGTCTCATAATTGTCCCGTCTCCATAAGCCTCATTTACACTTTTATATTGCATTCCATTTTTATCCTCATGTCAGATTGATGTTTGTGATCATTCAATGGCGTCCAGCCCCAAAACCCTTCCATTTGGAATTTGAACATATTATGGTATGTGCACCCAACTGCAGAGCATTTAAATATTCTCTAAGTGTTAGCATAAATCGAGTAATAAAGCGGTGTGTCATCTGCAAAAAAAGAATCGTTCCTTCTCTCGAAGACTTATTATCCAAAGCAATTATTTCCTTCTTTCAGGGACAAAACTTTTCAATCACCTGGAATTAAAAGATGGAGGTTTTTATTTATCTATATTCATCTGGCAGCTGAAGGGCAACGACAAACAGATGATGGGAATGTGAAGAGCAGACAGTAAAAGTGAGCAGAATTTCAATGACGTGAGCCCATCTGCCTGCATTAATTTTTATTGACTCTAATTCTTTGGAAAGGCATGATTCGCAGGCATGCTAGCTATCATTCTTGTTTACTTTCATATATCAATTAGAGGGAATACAATTCAAATCCTATGATTATCAATGTCATTCCCAAAGGGGAAATAAATTGTGGGAGCTTTATTAGCCGATTGCAGGTTATAAGGCTGGATGAGCACCAAATTAATCAAGTAACAAACAGCATCCAGGAACATATAGGATTCACTCCTATATTCACTCCAAGAGATGGAAATGATAGATAGATGCAGTCACAGAAATCAGTGAGAACTCCATGCTGTGTGAGTTCAGGGCCATGAGGAGATTTACATACATTTTCTCTCTTCATCAGTTTCCTGCACAGTATCTTTCTTACCCCTCTTTTTCAAAATTCCTACTGCCACTCATTTCATCTTTTCATACACATCTTTTCCTCGACCCCATCTTTCACACCAACTCTGAATATTAATGTTTCGTTCTTTCCCGCCTTCCTGCCACTAACCATATCTATGCCCGCTGTTTTCATACTTTCCCATTTCTGAATTTAACTTTAAGCTGCAATTTATTGGATCCATTATCTGCATTTTAACTATAATTATTTCTGACAAAATAATAAATCAAATACTCAGAGGTCATACTTCACAAAAAAGCGTTATCCATTTGCAGACACAATCCTCCCCTCAAAGATGGTCTAAAAGCTTCTAAATGAACTGAGTTTGTTCGTTAAGCGGAGAACACTGGTGGTTGATATGTATTGATTTGTCTATCTCGCAGTTTAGGGTTTTGACATCATAATCACAATGGATGTGATTAATCAATCAGCTGGTACTCCTTGTATTCATAAAGTGATGTTTTCAGAATCTGATCATTGAGGCTGTTTTAGAGCTCAGTGTGTAGTTTCTACAATGAAGGTTTTATAAATCACAAAAATAACACAGTTCATAGTTTGATGATGTCATTAAGAAGCATGGGATGATGGGAGATGCTTCTAAGTTTCTACCAGAAATTATTTTCATGGACAACGTAGTGCATGTAAGTTTTAGACATGTTTTGTTTTCTAATTTATTCATGTGGCGTAAACTAGCTAGGAGACCAAATAACAGATAACAGCGGGTGTATACACTGTTGGAACCCTTTTTTGATTATGAAAGTGCCCGATCCAGCTTCCAGACTGTTGCAGCAACCAGAAACAGCAAACATGTGCCCTATGCCCTTTTTGTGTGTCACTCCTCTCTTACCTACAAAGTCACTGTTCAGTTTTTTAGGTCTCAATCATTTTCCCAAAATATTTGGTGGACCATCGTAACAGCCTCTGTGTAAAACTTGTCTCAGCTGAGATATTAAAAAGTACCTCTCTTCTCTACAGAAAGAGCCAGAGGTAATAAATAAGTGCAGATTTATAAGTCATGTATTAAGACAGTTGGTTTTCATTGACTTACTTCTCTCCGCCTTGAAGCCCAGCAGGTCTGTTTGATTTTCCACACGACTGCTGCCACCAGGAGAAGTGACAGAAAGCAGCTGTAACAAAAAAAGGAAAAACAATATCAAGCACTGTGATGACTTCAACAAGTAACAGCTGTCCTTAAAGTGTCATGTTTATGATGCGGATTTGGGTCAACCATTGGGATCAAAATCTTTTTTTTTTTTTTTGGGCATGACCAAAATGTGTTTAAAAATGTTCATGCTTAATTTTATGTCGAGACCCAAGAGTGGATAGTTGAGTAGTTTTCAGTGGGTCTCAAAGTGGGTCTGCACCATTTTTCATAAAAACAAATCTCATTGGAAATGCTTCATAACATCATCATTCCTCCTCTGCGTCAAACAGGACACATTTAGCAAAATGATTTTATAAGAGGTAGCTTTGCCTTTGAGAGTACTGGAGAACATTCATTTACAATACAACATACATTTTTACACATTTTGCACAAAATGATCGACAAACCCAAATCAAGGTGTACTTAAATATCATATGTTTCCTGTTAACTCGAGAAAAGATAGAGCCGCTGAAATTTTATGAAGAGATACCCACATTCATTTTTAGTAGACTGAATATTTTGGCTGATTACTTCAATTAATTACCCCAAAAGTAAAACCATTAGTGAAGGGATATTCCGCATGCTATGAGGGCTACTGGGATAATTAAAAAAAAAAATGATGGATTGAGAGCTTCCACTTCATTATCCCGGTGATGAATGAGAAGGATAAGATTTACATCGGCTAAAGAGACATCGAGCTGTATGCTAAGCTAGTTGTCTTTGTGGCAAACAAAACATTTTAACATTTTACTCTGTCACTTATATCCCGACCTGCCACTGTCGGCAGGTAGTCCCACTCTGGAGACAGTGGCAGGTAGTTCCACTCTGGGGACAGGCAGGTGGGGAGTGTGACTGGGGGTGGCAAACCTGTCAAACGGTAATGCAGGTGTCCTAAGGTAAGCTCAGGGAGGACAGACACCTGCCGTGGAGAAGAAGGGCAAACGCTTGCTTGATCTTGATTTTTATAACAAATACAGATCACGCTTTATAATCTTTATAATCATTTGATAGTTGTCTTCTTGCAGAATTAGAGGGGAACATGACTTTGTTTTGATGTCCAAGAACAAAGAGGCAATCACAGGGTGATAGGTTTGGATTTGATAAAAGAGGCCGTAATACGACCAATGAGCCCTTGTCTTCAGGGACGCGCCACATTTCTAAAACAGGCACTCTGATCTAATAAGCACATTTCGGCAGAGACACTCGAGCAGCTCTGATTTCACGGGCCCATTTGTTAGACATTTTGCCTGTCTTTCAATTTCCCTTCCCCTCCTGCTAGATCCATCGGTCAAGATCTTTGAAGACAGAGATAAGACTTCTGAAGAATGTGATAACTTTGAAAATGTAGCTCTGAAAAAAAAAAAAAAGAAAAAAAAAAGCTTAAGACACGAGGAAGGGACCACCAGGCAAAAAAAAGAAAAGGAAAAGAAAGTACGATTTCAGTGTTCAAACATCTCATCATCACACCTGGAATCTATTTTGAAAGTGTCCGTGCTGGGAACTCTTTTAGAACTCGCACGACAAGACAACTTTGAAGATAACTTTAAACAGAGACGGTGATTTTGGAGCTTCAAGGAGACTTTCACGTGACAGAGGTGACAGGAATTCTTAGACAGACATTCTTTTTTTTTTTACAATACAGGAAGCTAAAATCCACATTGCTCCTTCCTCTGCTGGTAATAACTATTAATTTCCTATTTCTATATGGACGTCAAGGCAAGCGTTCAATCCCTAATGCAAGGATGCTCTAATGTCTTGCATGTGTATTTTTAGGGGATATTGGATAGGAATTTGAATGTTTGAAGATCATTATGATGTCACGACAGAGGGTAAGGAAGAAGCTGTCAAACATTATACTTAATTTTCTGAGCTTAGTGACGTCAGACAAATGACGCTTCTTTCAGCTCAATCGTCATCATTATAACTTCTTTTTGGATTTAAAAAAAAAGAAAACCAAGTAGGACCCTTTTTTTATACCATAATAAAATTGGATGGAAGCTAAACTGAGCACTGGTTTCTTTAAATTACATGCCGTTTTCTGTAACCACAAGGATACAGTTACCATGGGGAAAACAATCAATAGGATCTTAACCTGCTTTCTAAAGGCTTTTTAGAATGAGAGAAACGCATGAAAACAACCACCAAATAAAGAAGAAACAAAAAAACAGCATTCTAAAAATTCCAAAAAAGGAAAGAAGAAGATATCCTACTAATGTATTTTAGGATTAAGACGAAGAAAAGTTGTGGATTGTCAGCCCTTTACTACTTGCGCATGTTCTGAACACATTGGGACGTCTCTTACACAGTTAATAAACACATACAAAGATGCTTCTGGAAGAAAAAAAAAAAAGAAAAAAAAAATTGACATCCTGGGCTTCCACAGCAACAAAAGGCAGCACTGAGATAAAGAGGGCAAGTTGAAATGTAAATGATAGTTCTGGACGGATTGTAGTGATAAAATTGTGAAACCTTATTTGGACAAACAGTAGGAGAGACTACAGAGGTTGTTTCCCCCTGTCATGCCGTCATTTCTTCACCTTCTATCTCTCACATGACGAGGTCCAGAAACCCTTTGGGGGTGATTTGACATTTTGTCATCAGGCTGATTACGTTTCCTGCAGGTTCCTGCCCTCCAAAAGTCCCCAAACACACACCCACACAACCTCCTGTGACTGCACCGGGGACTTTGACTTTTGTCCTGAGTTTTATGGGTCAGTGAGAAATGGACAACAAGGATGCAGAAAAGACTCAAAAGAACTAGTCTGACCTGAATAAAGAGGAACATTCAATGCATGCAAATGGGGAAACAAGTGGATTGGAAACCACATACCAGAATTCAAGAAACTAAGAGTTAGTGTTTAGACAGTTTCCAGGAGCATGACTACAATTGTCTCTTAAGGGGTTCTCTTATTTTTCAATTAAAACAACAACAACTTAAGCTACTCTCCCCTTGTGCCTGTAATGTTATCGTATTTTAAATGTTTACCTGTGTGAATGATGCAAGCACCTGTCAGACACATTTCAGGAAAAAGAAAAAGAAAACGAAATCCTCCCCTTCTCCCTTTCTCTTGCAAGAATTCCTGAATTTGCCGATTCAAATGTAATATGAGCGCGTGGAGGAAGGAGATAAACTGATTTTGTGACAGGTAGACTTATTGTGGACCTGGCAATGATGGGCAGGTGCCTGGGGCCAAGGCTGTCTTCTATTTCCACCTTGACAGCTACACAGATAATATGCTAGTCCATCACAGCTTGGGCTCCCACACCTTGAAGTCAAACGAACCAACACTGATACAAAAAGTGCTGCATGGCTTCAGTGACATTCAGAGAATTAAACTGTCTACACCAATGACCCTGAACTTATGAATAAAACAAACTTTATTTATTTACTGCTGACTGGTTTGTGCGTTTCTATTCAAATTGTTTTGATTAAATTCACCTTTCCATTTTGGAAGGACTTTCATTACTACTTTTGTGGGATGTGGCTTTAGGAATTAATAGATGTGTATCCAAAGAGAACATTACAGCCAAGAAGAGCAAAAACACTCAAATTAGGGCTTGACCGATATGGGATTTTTGGGGCTGATACCGATATTGGGGAGAAAAAAAATCAGATACCAATATAGAGGCCAATATCTTTCTCAGATCTATGTTCAATCTGTAGAGATAGATAGAGATAGAGATAGATATACACATTTGTTGTGTTGATCCCTCAAATGCAGTAATCCAACACTTGTGGAAAAATGTATATAATATATATATATATATATATATATATATATATAAAAAGATAGACACTCAAAGAAACTGGAAAGTAACTGTGAAGCGGTGTCACCGCTTTACACTCTGGAGAGTGATACCTGCTTGTTGTAATCCATATAGCACACCCTGCTGGTTAAAGAGAACTGCTAGTTTAGTACAATAATGCTCAAATGAAATGATATTTGACTGGTGAATAAATCTCGTAATATTGGTGCATATTTGTGATAAAAATAGCTTTTGTTATTGGGTGGCCGATTAATCAGTCAGGCTGTAACTAAAATCGGCTGATATCATTGGATGGCTGATTAATCAGTCAGGCTCTAACTAAAATAATTAACAAAATATGGCTACTATGACTTGATTATTACCATCACAGCGGATTAACTTTACCTCTGTGTATTCTTCCTTTTTTTTTTTTTTTTTTTTTAAAAAGGGCTCTCAGTGACCCTTCAGGTGAGAAGTAGATAGATGTTCTATTTATTGTACTTTACAGAAGCCTAAAGGACGTGCTTCCTTAACATTTTATTTCCTCCATTTTCCCATGATAACGAGTCATTTCTGGTTGTTTTCTTTAATAATAATGTCTTCATATGTTGTATGGCGGCATGTCCTCTAAGGGTTTCCATAGTACTTTGGTGTTTCATATTTATCCCTTTTTATAAATTACAGTTGAAGTTCCTCAATAAGATGTTCAAAAGTCAAAAAGAGAAATAAAATACTCAAAAGCAGTGCATTCAAACCCAGCCTCATTTACCTGCAGGAAAATCACTTCACTGTGAAGGCACTTCAAATATTAAGATGTTGAAACTTTTCTTGCTAACTTTCTTTTTTTTTTTTTATGAGCATTATTTTGAAAGTCACAGTGAAGGACTGGTATTATTTTTTCAAACTCTTAAATGTCCCTTATCTGAAGCTAAAGATTAAGCCTATCAACAATGACCCAGTGTTATTGATCAGAGAGGCTCAGATTAGCGTGACAGTAACCAACCCTCTGCTGAGCCAACGCAGAACTTTTGAATGTCACTATCTTACTGAATGCATCAATTTTCCAATTATACTCACATCCGACCAGTATATTGAGCGGTTTCTGTGCTTTTCATAGAACTCAATCAACTAATTTTAAACATTTCAATGAGAAAAGATTTCCATCGGAGCACTCGGCGTGAAAAACCATTAATAGCCTTCATATCTTGATGGCCCCTACCTTCTCTTCAGATGCCGCACGCTGAGCAATATTCACCTATTTAAATGGTTCCCAGCAGCTCATTTACCACTTGAAAAAGGAAAAAAACTGGTGCCTTAAAGATACAAGGAGCATTCACGTGTAGTCTGTTCATATGCTCAAGTAACTCAAGAAGACCAGAGAGGCCAGAGAGGAAGACGAAGAGGTGGAGGGTCAGATTCTGGATAATGACTCGACATATGAGAACTCAAAGCAGCTCAAACATCCGCTAACAGTGTGTTTAAGAGGTAAAACATGTATCTGACTTACCTGAAAAATGTCACAAAGAACTGGACAAGGTCCATGATACTGTTGTGTTGGGAGAAAGCAATCTATAGGAGAAAGAGACAAAACTCAGAGCTGAAAAAATGGGCAGCTTTTCAAAGTTTGCTAATTTTAGAGCAAACGTGATATGAACATGGGTATAAATCCTGAAGCAGCGCTGTCATGCACTGCACATTTCTTTTTTTTTTTTTAACCTTAACCAGAAATGTTGCATTTCTTTTCATGAAATTAAACATCATTTTGATAGGCCTCCCTCAGTCAATCTGGGACATGAAGTGATTTACTCAATATGATGTCATTTGCTGTCACAATTAGCTTCAAAAACACTCATACATCACATCTGAATCAATAAGAATTTCACATCATACTAACTCATGGTTCTTTAATGATGTCATCAACAACCCATCGGATGTTGGGGTACATAACACAGTGGATTAGTTTATTTAAGTCAACAGAACGGCCAGTGACTAATGGCATGAAATCCTTTTTTTTTTTTTTTACCTTCATTAAAAGAGGGATTACTCACAGTCCTGGCAGCTAAATCACATCTGATAGATCACATCACAGTGACACGTCATTATCTACTCTACACGCTCTGAAGGCATTTTGCCCTGAAGGCATGTCGACTCATAAACACGACGTCATCTGCAGCAGTAGAGCCACTCGGGCTGAAAAACTTGTAGGGCTGAGTAACATGGTGCTTATATAGAGGATTGTTTATTAGCATCGTGTTTGATGCTTGGAGAGCTGAGACTAAAATTGAAGTAGGCTTCGTTTCATTGATTCAGGTTATTGCTGCGAAATGATGCTTTGTTCAATGTTTATGAGGTCATTTTATATAATACTGTATATGCATGTTTATGCACTTACTGTAGTTATACAGGTTAAATGTCAAGTACTGTCAAATCTGGAATTTACATCCCAACAGTATACAAGACACAGTTTGTATTTGGCGGCCATCCAGAGTGAAAAAGTCTAACCTGTCTTCTTGCATGAAACACTGAAATCAGCAAAGTCCACAATTTTACATTGTTGATGATTAGGAACTTATTTTCATTATTATGTTCCGTAGTGTGTGTGTGTGTGTGTGTGTGTGTGTGTGTGTGTGTGTGTGTGTGTGTGTGTGTGTGTGTGTGTGTGTGTGTTTTGTGTTTGTTTCTCTCTCCATCTCCTGTTGCTCTGCAGGTTAGTGCTCTCCATACTGCAGCTGGTGATTGAGCTCACCTGATGCCAGCTAACAATCAAAGGTCCTAAGCATAAAAAGCAGGAGAGCGGCGTTGGGTCATGCATTGATCGTGTGGAAGCTGAGCTGATCTTACTTCTTCAGTGTAAGAAGGGTGTTGTCTGTTGGGAGGCCATAGCTTCTCTTGTTAACTAGGATTTTGTGTTGGTTTGTGTTCAATGTCTGGCTTCTCATTAGTTGTTTTTTGTTTATTTTTTAAATAGAAGCTTGTTTTCAGTTGAATTGTATATCCACTTTAAGTTGTTAATAAATTATTTGGGTTACGTAACATTTATGTTAATAATTTTTTTTGTTTTTAAATCATGACTTTTTTTGTTGCCGTTTTCTTCTCTTGTACTCTTACTTATGTTTGTACGTTCATGTTTCGCTTGTCAATGAAGAAAAGTCTAAGTAATTCAAATTGTGTAACACAAATATGGAAAAAGGTGATGATCCATATGACGTTTTATTTTTACAGGAGAAGAAGAAAAGGTGCAAATCCTTATTATCTGTGATTGACAGTGTAAACATGTTTGTAGTTTGTAGCAGGGAAACCATTCGCTCTGCAGGGTCCCTTTGCACCTTTAAAAAAAGCTAAAGACTTCGCTCTTTCATAAACACCTACGCACTTAATGATATAGATTATGATGATGAGGAGGATTTTGCTTGATAATGACGATGACTATATTTAGGATGGTTTTGATTTTGATTGAAACTCTCAAGTACGCTGCCTGTCACCTGTGTGTCTGATCCGCCTTAAAGCTGTTCACTGACGTCGTTTCCTCCTCTCTAGACCCTGGCTTGTGTTGAACTAACTCTCTGATGTGCGTCGCTCTGGATAAAAGTGTCTGCTAAATGAATTGTAGCAAACCATGTCCTTTTTTGACAACTTTATCGCCCTCCTAAACTTTCCCATCTTTGTCCATTTTTTTTTTTTTTTTGTACCTTTTTGAGTACAAAAATGAGAATCGCTGATGTGAGAGGAGATGCTCGCTGACATGGCTAACACGACTCAAAAGCACACATGACAGATGTTTGGCTGGGTTTTTAGTACGTTTGACATCTGTATTTAGTGCTTTAAAAGCCAGCAATTCACACATTGTGATGGGCAAAGCAATATTTTTAGGGTTGATTAAATTTCATTCATCAGTCTCAGCCTATCAATGGCAACCATTTGAAAACGTTCTTCTATTACTAGTGGACCTTTGTTACATTGAACAGTCCTGAAGAGTCTCTTGTGTGACATTTATACAGACACAATAAGACGCCAGAGAACGTCTTTGCTCATGACCTCCCCTTTTTTTTTTCTTTTTTTTTTAACCTACATTTAGATGCATATTTCATGGGCTTAGTCACTCTAAACAAAGGCTCATGAGTGCAATCTGAAATTCTGCTTTATCTCATCCAGGTCTACACTGGAGCCGCTGCATCATAAAGCCAGACAGGGAAGAGAAACCTTATCCTGTTACAGAGGCTATTTGCTTTAACAGCTCAGGCCAGTCTGTTATAAATAAGTGACTGTTGGAAAGGAAATCTAATAGAAAACTATTACTGCGCCGCCTTCAAAGATGGACTGAACCTCGGATATTATTACCCCACCCTGGTCCAAACATCTACACCATTAAAGGGAGGGACAGAAAAAATAGCTACATCAATACTTGGAAGTGGGCTGATTAGGAAAAAGAGACTGTGGGCTATTTTTAGGAATTCCAGTTTTATCTATCATATATCTGAGGAGTACTACTTGCTTATTGCTGTCAAAAAGACACTATAAGCAATATAATTAGTTGACTAAATGGCTGTAAGTATGTGAGGGACATAAAAAAAGTCACCCAGAAAAAACACATTGGCTGCATTTCCCTTTAAAAGACATCTAGTCCCAGAAGCTTCTTTCAAGGGTTCAACGGTTCAGCCATTTCATCACCAACTTCTGATGAGCCATGAAGATGATTTATTCTTCTGGTATGTGAAAAGTCTTCTGCATGCAACGGGTTCTTAACCAAACAGGACATGTTCAGTGTTGAAAGAGCCTCCTGAAAGTCCAAGTACTGAGAGGAAGTAGTTCTTTCCTTGAACCCTGCTGTTGAAACACATTTTGTTTTAATTGATTTCAATGTTTTTGTAATTGATTATACGTGTTTGTTGTTGTTTTAGTTGTTTCTAGTTTTTAAAATGCTTGTAAATCTCAACAGCACGGGAAATGAGGGAAACCTCACTGAATTGAATTTGAATTATGATGTTGTGTACATAATATCAACTGTCTAAGGTATTAGAAGTGACCTTTACCAACCGTTTTGAGATTTTGTCATTTAACTTTTTTTGGAACATTTTCTGACATCCGTTCACAATATCCTCATTCACATTATGCTCGTTCATGTCATAAGAGCCACTGTGAGGAGTCATGAAGTAGTGAGTCAGATTGGTACAGACGTCTGACCAAAGTGCTGCATTATTATGAATTAAAATATGTATATGTGGCACCAGTGATTCATGAGGACAAAGATACATTGCCATACCCATATTGTTTCCCATCCCTAGGTGAGAGTAAACCAAAAAGATTAAAGCTGCGACCCTGAAAACCTAAACAACGAGCTGTAGGCAACTGCTAAGTCCAGAGATAATTGTTTGTCACCATGTTTGACCCTTTTCAAATCGCACTACAAAAAATATGAGCCGTAGAGTAACTGTTATTTTAGATTGTTATCTGACTGACATTTCCAGACAGAGCACCTCACTGTACTGAAATCCTTTTTTGTTAGAATGAGTTCTTTGAAGTCAAACTTCTTCAATTTAGAGTCACAACGTTGAACTGATTGAACTTTACAATGGCAGAGAAATCAAGTGATGTTTACTCTGTTGTATCTAGTTAGTCATGTGTCATGTTGTCTGTGCAGAGAGACCATATTTGTTTGTCATAATCACAGCTCTAATAGCGCTCCCTCCATCTGAGAGTGTAACAGCCTGCTGTTGTCTCTTCGTTTCTCTGTTTCTCCTCCTCTGTGAAGTCAGGGCTCAGTCACTCTCGCTTACACATCCACTGCAATGTGGTCTTCAGTCGATTTCAACTCACCGCCTGATATTAAAACCACGCAAAGGATGTTTTAGACAAAAGCCTAATTTATGTTTTCCGACAGAAAAAAAAAAGAATGCAAAGGATATAAACAGGTCACTGCTTCGTTGTTTTTCCTCCTCTATGACCGCATCAAAGCCTCCATCTCCATGAAGAAGGAGCGTTGGAAAAAGGCTAAATAGAGCTTCGCTTTTGCCCGCTGAAAAACAGCTGTGCACCTATGCACGCTAACCATCGCTCATTAAATCCATAATTAGAATAAAGTGCACTTGAAGTCACCCTGAGCTGAGCGACAATGGAGCGCTGCATCTGCAAAGATGGCTGCTCCTGCTGTCTGTACGCATGCAGGATCACTTGTTCATCCATGAGAGGTTTTTACATGTAGTGGGCAAAGCAAGGACAACATGACACAGAGCGGAGAAGTGATGAGATCACCGTGTTTCATCTATCCAAAGGTTGTAAGCACAGTCCTCACCTGGATCTTGATGGGCCATGAGAAGTTACTGACGTAGACATAAAAGGTGATATTGGGGTTGCTTCTGAAGGTGAACTTCTCACAGGAGAAACTGTCTCTGTATTCCTTGATGTTTGTTTTGGACACGATGGGCACCTCCTCTCCAGAGATGGTTCCAGCTGTGAGGGGTGAAAAGAAAAACTCCTGTTATGTTCAGTGAGCTTCCCTACATACAGAGCAGGAGCCGGAGCAACTGCAACGCATTATTATGAATAACTGGACCTATCAAGCCGTTAGGGACCACCGTAAAATGGCTCATTTATATTATGTCTTATGTGCATTTAAACGTACAATATGTAGAATTTTAAGACAATGTTTACATTAAAATATCTAAACTAATTAGAAATGGACTAAATGTTTATTGTTTAATGTTATTTTTTTTGTTAAGTACTGACATTACCTCAAATATTTCCAACAATTATAAAAGCCAGAAATCCATAAATTTAAAGCTGTAACGGGACGTGTCTTGTCGAGGCGGCGGTCATGATGAGCCGCCATGACAGACAGAATGTTTAATGACCGAGTCAAGAACAAGGTTACAGCTGTAACCGGGGGATACAAATCTAACTATGAATGTTGAAGTTATTCCTTCTTTTAGAAAGAGGTGTTGTCCTTCACAGTAATGACAGGGAAAGAAAGCCTTTTGGTTGCGGTCTTGCAGTCTTGATTTAAAATCCGGAGTCCGCCCACCCGCTCTGAGAACGAGACAAGACCGACTACGAATGCTTTTGAGTCCAAGACGAGACAGAGACCTTCAAAAAGTGGTCTCAAGACCGGTCTTAGGCAACACTCGTTTTGACAACAGGATTTGATGATAGAATTAAATAAAACTCATTATATTCTAAACTGTGGTGTTCACACTGGATAGTGTCTTGTTTATGTGCCATTCTGAATACCTCTTTAAAATAAAAGCCACAGCTCTATTTCCCATCTATCTTAATGTTTCAAGTCATTTCTAATTCTTCCTCATGTCACTGGTCCTCAACATTGACATTCCAGCCCACAGCTCTGAAACAAAAGAAGTGAAAATGACAGCTTGAGTGTGGCTACGTGAGCACGTTTATCTTAATTGAAATCACCCTCCTCCTCCTCCTCCTCCCACCCAAAGGCGCCTCACACTCTTCGTCGATTGTGAAGAGGCTCCTGCTCCTTCTCAGACACAATATCTTAGTGGGTAAAAGAGGACAGAACTTCAAAATTAATGACTGAGCTCCGAAAAGGTTAAGGTGTCGTTCGGGGAGGGGGGAGTTAACGCGCTTTAGTGGTTGGAAAATGTCAGCACTGAGGGGAAGGGGAGAGTGGTCGATGGCACCAGAGGAGGGGAGGGCAGGGGATAAACGGTGCCACTGGCCCACTGCAGTGTCCTTGGGCGTCTTCCCTCAGGGGACCTAGACTATCCAGTCAACAGTGACACACGACACAGCGGCAACAGAGGAAGCATTTATTATTAAACTGACCTGCTAAATGATGGTTTTATTCAGACAAAAAGCATTTACAAACTCCATTTCTAAACGGTCTGACATCTTAAGGAGGCGGTGGAGTTGATTTGTTGGGGCTGTTGGGGGGGGCGGGCCCGAATATAATGGTAGGGGAAACACTGTAATTCACTTAGTTAACCAGTCATCTAATAAATGGACTGATTATAAAATATAAGTTTGTGGACTACATAGAGAAAGGCTTTGTCTACAGTTTTGCTCTCTTCAAAGGACGAATAAAAAAATAAAAAAACATAAAGCCAGGCATTTTGAAAGCACGATAAATAAACTGCAAAATCCAGAAGATGTACCTGTTGATCCCACAGACCAGGTGATGTTGAGGTTGAAGTTGTTGGATGCATTAATTGACATGTCCAAGTTCTTGTTAGCCTTCAAAGACAAAAAAACAAAAATATTTAAGTAGTTATCCATAAACAAGTTGAGAACTTCTCCAATTCGACACAAAATAGAGAAAAAAAAACATCTGATACTGTCCAAAACTCGACAAGGACTGAGAACTTCCTGAATAGGTTACCTGCTCAGGAGAGGCCATGAAGTTGATGGCAGTGTAGTGATTATCATCTTCTTGGATGAGACTGAAGGTGAACTGGTAGTCGATCAGGAGGTTGTCTATTTAGAAAAGAAAAATCAGTCCACAAGTAATACGTAACATAACAGGGAGAGGCAACTTTGTGAGGAATAAACACGATCTAACCTGCCTGCCCAATAGAGAAGTTAGAGAGTTCTACTCTGTGTGATATGATCCAATGAAATATAGAAGCAGTAAAACAGACTGATGGAGACACCTCAAAATGTTTGTAATCAAATCCAAAGAGTGCAATCAGGGAGCAATCAAGCAGAGAACAAGTCGGACTACCTGACCCTGACAGCAGGCTCCACAGATCCTCTTACAGCCACTAATTAAGGATCAAATTATTCATTAACGGTGGTCACGTTAGGAATTCATGACACACAAAAATGAACAGAACGGTAAGAGTCCAAGAGATGAAAAGTGAATATACATTCAAGGATGATTACAAATCTAATGTTGGATTGACGTTCACTCAAACTTGCACTGTGAATATTTGTAAGAAACGGTGGGAAATGAATGTTCCAGCAGGGACATGCTGCTATAGAAATTACTTTAAACAATAAACAAAATTAAACCTGAGTGTATAACACTAACCGTAGGGATTAAAAGCAGATCTTAATGATGGTCAGGTTTACTCCACAGTGGTGTGTTTTTTTTAATTAGTGAGTATAAAATGAAGCAGTAGAACCTAAAAGTGTTTGTTGCTCATCTTAAACTTGAAACTTGAAGTGATCTGGCACCTCTCAAGAACCCAGACCAATTTCCTGATTTGGTTCATATCCAGAACTTGAACAGGCAACCCTCTGGTTCCCAACACAAGTCCTTACAGACTGAGCGACTGCTGCCCCTAAGATATGTTGTGTGAATAAATTGATATTTCATTTTGGTTGATCTGCATAAAAACCACAAAGCTTCTTGTGATTGATTGGCTCGCAGAAACAAATCAATATGGATTCTTTGAATATGGATTGCCTTTGCTTTAAATGATGTCCTGATGACAGTCATAAGGAACAAAACTATAACATATCAACTGTGTTATGCCATTTTCCAGAATTTATGTACTGCAAGAGTATTTGTACATGCATTTGGTACTCAAGGGGTTTTAACTAAACTCACAGTATCGGGAGAAGTTGGTGAATACACGCTGTAAAGTAGCAGGATAACGTCAGTGTGATTTCGGAGTGAGTCCGTGCTCAATGGCCTTTCAGATAGTCAGGGGTGTCATGTTTACAAGAGTGCGTAACTGAGCTAGAGAAAAAGTCTTGGGTAGAGTTCAGAGGTTAATGCAAGCTGCAGGCTTCCAGTCCTTGTCTTCCACTCATTGTGCCTGCTGTCGGGCTGTGGCATTTCAAAAAAATGAAAAAAATAAATAAATAAAAAGGGACAAAACCTTGGCTGAGGCTCTGTTGTCAGCGGCGGAGTGTTGAAAGAGCGAATACTGCAGCAGCACCGTGAAGGACGGTGCATCATGCAAACAAACACACAGAGCACAAATATGTGATGTGCGACCACTCTTCAGCCCCGAGTGTCAACTTCCTGCATGTTTTTCATCTTGATATATTTCCCCTCCACTTCACACTCAAACTAACATTTAGTCAACTTTCTAAATGAATCAATGAGTAGGTGGGTGATTGAGTAGCCGAGTGGAGAGTTTTCACTCCTCCGTCTCCTTGATTAGCTCAATCACTCACTCCTTCTGATGCACTTGACATTTTCACGACAAGTCATTCTGTCACAGAGCGAGCGCCCCTGATGCCAAAGTGCTAAAATGCTCCATCTGCCCAGAGCGGAAGAGTGGAAGCAGGGAATAGAAAGAGAGAGAAGAGCGGAGAGAGAATAGACAAGAATAGACGAGAATTATCAAGGAGGTCTGTGTGTGTGTGTGTGTGTGTGTGTGTGTGTGTGTGTGTGTGTGCATGAGTTGCATCTCTGTCCAGTGCAGAATTACTCACAGTAACAGGTTCCTCGGAGTGGATTGCCAAGGTAACGGTTTTCTGAGTCACATCTGCAGAGAAGAAGAAGAAAAAAAAAAACAGAGAAGATGAAGAAGAGCGCAAACAGATTGAGAGCAAGAAAGACCTCTTATCAGGAGCGCTGTATGCCAAGTGCCAGCGCATTAGCTCCTGCTGTTGGCGCCTCATCGAGTCTCCAACTTCTGAAATAATCTAATAGTTTGCAAAAGTTAATTAGATTTTCGGTGTGAACTTTTGTTTATCAAAGCGACACAGAGCATCGCTGCAAACTTTACGCACGACCTGATCACATCACAGAGCAGAGTTTGCCATCTGAGAGTAATATCCCAACTTTAATCCCTTAAATCCTTGCAGCAAACATGACTATTTATGTTAATTAGTCTTGCTTGATTGTTTGAGATGCATAATCCTAAACGAGGGTGTAAAAGCCAAATCAAGAATAACTGCAAATCATGAAATCTTTTTTAAAAAGCATCAGATAAGACTCAGGTTAGTTTTTAAGAGGTTGAGAGGGGGGTGGATGCAAAGTTCAAAACAGGCAACACGACGCCCAGGGGGAGATTCCTCTTTGTTTCACAGCCATGTTTATTAAATCATAGCTGCAGGATTCAGACTTAATCAGAGCTCAGGATGAACATGTTCACACCCCTCACAGCACATGACGTGTTCACCTTCAGCTGCAAAATGAATACCCAGTTGCTTTTTAGTCTTGCCTCATGGAAAAATCTTGTCATTTTTGGGGGGAGAATTGAAAAGATCAGCGGGGGAAAGGCTGCTCTGAAGTATGGATAAGAGGGTCAAAACATTTCTAAAATACTGTGAGAAGTATAAAATAATCATAAATCATGATAAAGCTTGAAAACAAGTAAAATAGAAAAATGTTCCCAAAGAATAAAGATCAGCCCTCAATTAGCATTTAATTGTCAATACAATACATTGTACATCTTCAATACATTGATGATAAAAAAAAAAAAAAAACCTCAATAACTAATAACTAAAAAGACAAAGATCCCTTAGGATTGACATGAAGTTAAGTCCCTGTGAAGGGGGAGGGTTAAAGGGATAGCCTTGCTCTTTTCCCTTTTCTTTCTTCTGTTGATTTGTTTGTTATCTTATTGTCTTGTGGTCTTGTCTGTAATTTAAAGTTAAGACATATCTGTAATATTTAGTGGTTCATTCCCTGCTTTTTCTCAAAAAAAAAATTATAAAAATATATAGTTTTTTAACAGCTATGAAAATATGAAAAATGTGATGCATAAGATACCAAAAATAAAATTCAAATGGAATATTGCATTCATCATCTTTTAGGAAAGTATTAAGCCATCTCAGAGTTTTCATTGTGTTCCTAAAACTGTTGTCGTCAAAATGAAAGGCAGTTCAGTCTGATGGTACATTCATATGCCATGGCTTTCATACATGAAGGACAGAGTTTGAAGGGCAGTTTTCATTTAAAGCTCCTCTACAGAACTTTCTGGTTGGGTTGAATTTGGTTCCCTCTTGTGGACAAAGCAGTACCTCTTGTCGCTTGGCTGATTTTGTCCTGTACATGTGTACGTAATGTTTAACAAGATATCGCATCCTGCTGTCTTAAACAATGAAATGTCTCAGTTATCATGAATCAGTGATCCATGCCTTGTAAAATTTTAAATGAATCTGTTTCTTTAGCATTGGGCTTTGACATGTCGCTGAAAATGATTGGATAGAAATGATTTAAATTCATATTTATTTATTCTGTCCCTGATGGTCTCGTTTGCTTTTGTAGAGAAACTCCTCCCAGGAGCTTTAAGAAGATATACACATGTATCTTCTTTAAAGACCCAGTGAACTAATATACTTCTCCATTTTCTATAAGAACACAACTACAAAGAGTAACCAATAGGTTGCTTTCTTGGAAACTTCACCGGTAAATCATTTTTTTATTATACATATATACATATAAATATAAATATATTTGTATTTACCCCTGAGTTTAAGCCAGTGTTGTGTGTTTGCTGAAAGTGTAAAATGACTGCAAGCCTGAGGCCAGAGAATCTATAACTCCAGTTAATGAGGTTCCTAACCCCAGAGCTAAACATGGTGTGAAAATTGAACAATTACCGTCTTCCATTTGTCTCCATTTTATTGTTGCAAGCAGACAAACACTCCAATTTTAAATGCTGGAATATCACCACTCTACACACACGGCAAACACAAACTTATTTCTGAAAGGATGGAAAGTTGACGTTTCTGTGGTTCACCGCAGCAATCTTGTATCAATTTGATTCTATTGTGTTAAGTAACCAAATTACATGAAGATGTCTTTATACACTCCTGCACAGTAAGATTTATGTATTTTTTAAGTGAACAGCCTATATTCAGACTTGTTCCTATGCATATGTTAAATAGATGGATGTAAGTGGATTGTTAAAGGTCCTGTGAGGCAGTTTATTCAGACAAACTGCAGAGGAACCCTTAACACTATCTGGCACAACAACACATATATTATAGCAACAGCAATAGGAGCCTTAGTTTAAATAAAGTTCCGCTGAGCAAAACATTTTTTAATGTACATAGATTGCTGGTTTTACGCAGTTTGTTGGTATGTTTTTAATCAAGCTCATGGCTTTCCAAAGGCTTGTAATGAGGGGAACACATGGCAGACATGTTCGGTACCTTCTTATTGAGGCACATAAAGAGGCTCTTTATCTATAACATTTTAAATTCACTCCGTCTTATTCCACTTCCTATCAGATATACGATTTTGTTTCACTGTTGTTTTATCACAAGGACAACCAGTTCAACTTGTTGGAAATGAATGGCAGAGGCTTTGATGAGGATTCAGAGGGGACACCGGGAAGGGAGAGGAGTGAACCCCACTATGAGACACAAACGCTGCTCAAGAGGAGGAGGAGGAGGAGGAGGAGGTGGAGGAGGTGGCTGTTTGTGATGTTACAGTGAACTGAGGATGACTCCGTCTCTAAAAATAACGCAACATCGGTTGTTTTGCAGGGTTGAGCTTTCGCGAGACAGACTGTTCCACTGTCACAGGTACTACACAAATACATGTCAGTCATATGTGGGTGGAAGTAACACATCTGATGCATTTTAACACTTAAATATCACCAGTGAAGGATGCAGTCCAAATATGGAGTAAAAAGGTTTTGAACTTTAATGCATGCTTTTGCATTAGTAGCTTCCCTAATCAAGAAGGATTGTGTCTCTTTATCTAAGCAGCAACTCCTGAAGGACAAGCGTCAGCACTGTGACTGATCTAATGAGGGCAGGACACAGAGCTGGGGACGCGCCAACCTCCGCCGCTCGCACTGTTAATATCAAACAGGAGAGGACGGGAGTGCTCTTTCAGCACGCTACAGGAGCAAGGAGGACAAATGGCGCCACAGGATTTGAACCTTATGGTACATCACTCCTGTGGCGTTTCAGCTGCCTGGCATTTGAACACACATGCTCATGCTGGAAGAGTGTATGATGCAACTGCTTTACACCATATCTTAATTTAATCTACACCTGCATGCATGCTTGCACACATTGGAACTTGAGGCAACCCCCCCCCCCTCCCCTTCTGTATCTTAATTTGATCTGCACATGAACCTCGGTCTGTGCGCACACACAAATGGAGGAAATGTGCTATGAACCAACACATTGTCCTTCAGCCACAACACACACGTGCACAATTTGAGAGTTGCAACCTCCAGGACAAGAAGAACCCTCAATAATATATTCATATGAGCGAGAGCTATAATAAGACATTTTATTTTGATTCATCACTCTAACGCAGCACAAACCTCATCAATTGTTTGACAATTCTTTTCGGCATCGATGCACCCTTCACTTCATTACTGCAGCTATTATTCCGGGGTCCTAATGGCACTCACTGGCTGAGGTGCATGCATGTGTGTAACTTTTGAGTACCCTTGTGTGGAGGTCTTTGTTCAAGGGTTACTGCTGGGGAGGTGTGGGGGGGGGGGGGGAAGTGATTACATGTAATGAGAAACCAGAAATTACATTACAAAAAGGGAACAGCAAACACCCCACCCTTACTGTTAGGCAATACATGCACACACTAATTAGACTGCAATTGGAAAAAAAAAAAAAGGTTTCTGAAACATGTTTGAATGTTAAAACGCATCCTGATTTTGAGATTGAATCACCACTGGAATAGCAGTTGCTGATAATGACAACCCTGATCTAATTAGAGCCTGTAAATAGGATCGATTAAGAACATATTCTGCTGCTTTATGTTGCTGGCTACATTTTAAGCTCATAATCAGCACCGGGCGGAAGGAATAGCTGGAGAGCCAGAAGTGTATGAAGTCTCTCAATGGCTGACGATAATGGGCCGGCTGCTGCCTGGACTGTTTGATACCCCTGTTCCGATTTTGTGGAGTAGAGATAGAGTTGTTAGTATCGACTGTTAGCCACCTGCTAACAAAGTGTGGCTCCACATTGTACAGCACTGCATTCCATCTGGTAGCACCCAAATTAATGGGACGCTTTGTCGTTAGCGCAAAGTGACATCTATTTACAGTCAAAGTCACCAGAAATCATGGAGGGTTGTGGAGAGGTCTCACTTCCACTTTAGCCTGTGGCCTTTTGTCTCGTTTTCTGTGCTACCATCACATTCATGTGTCCTGTTACCAAGCCCTTTTCCTTGCATGTGGTGAACAGTTTGTCTCTGAGGCTTCGACTTCAATCGTATTTGACTTTGTTGCTAGTTTTTATTTTTGTATGTTCTAATATGATGGTTAACATTGCTCAGAATCAGCTATTATTCTATAAGCTCCATTTGATCAAATGGGGTTTTGAGTCTGGAAAATGTATTTGAAAATGTTATATACTGTATACTGAAAATGTTTTTTCAGTTTTCTCAAACAATGAAACATTTAGGTGCACAAATGGTCATACTTAAGTTTATATATGAAATTGGCAAGTACATTTGTGTAGGTTAACTGTCAAAGTATTTTAAATTCAATCTATTTTTTTTCTATTGGACACCAGCTAAAGCAAACACATTGTTAACATAAAGAGTATTGTGCAGCAACTAATGTGTGTGCTTGTTACTTCACCTCATTACCTGAAACTTCCTGCACATTAGATAGTCACAAGAAAATACTTTCAAGTTGGGTATCAGCGGAAAAAAACTATTTTTCTGTTTATGAGAAAAACTGGCTATAGAAATTGTCAACTTTGAGATTTAAAGCCAAAATGTTAAAGGTACCTGTTGAGGTTTTTGACCACTAGTAGTGCTATGGAGCAGCTGGGTAATTTATCAGTTATATTTGAATCATAAGTTATGTTTGTATGCTGTTTTAATACTAAACAGAAACTGGAATTTCTTACTAAAGGTGCATCTCAAAGAAGAAAACATGGATAGATGTTTTCAAAATGTATTGAAGATATGAAATCAATAAATCAATTCAAGGGATGGATCTTTACAGCCTATCGAGAGGAGTTTGTCTATTTGTATATTTCAGGAGCATTAAAGCCCACCGTTCTGAAATCTCCTGGGTTTTTTATAAGAAAGGAAAGCATCAAGTACATTAGTTAGAACTCAACAAAACAAAAATGATCATTTGCATGAAAACTCCAGAGGATACCTTAGAATGGTGTCATGTGTGACTTATGCTGACCAAGATATGTTCTAGTATTGGATGACACTTTTCCACATGTCTGAATCAGTGCGACATGGTTGAAATGTGTCTAAATTTAAACTGATATGTCATCAAGCAGCCTATGATGAATTTAAACATGGTGAGAAATGTGTGATTAAACAAGTACAGATGACAAAACATGAACACAGGAGTGTGAAAATGGGATTCTAATCATAAAACGCAGTGATTTTGAACACACAAGGTTTGTGTCAACAAAGAGAGGAAACTCATGGCATTGTGTGAGTGGGAGTATACAGTACATTCACTCATGTTTGCCTGTGACCCCTCCATAACTCTCACTACATTAGGGGTATTAAAAACCATCAGTGTCCATTCTGCTTACCACTGGGAAAGCAGTCAGCTAAGTGGAGATGTTCCTCCTACACAGCGGGAATCTACCGTGTCAGCAGAATCAGTGCCAGAGGTTGAGTTTCTGGCCACTATAATACCAAGTGAGAGTCCTCTGTTGTCCCACCGCTGAATAGTCCCAACGTTGAAGCCACCACATGAGATGCTGCTCTCAGTGATCAGTAATCAATGCTCATAAATGTGTCATGAAAATCATAAATCACTGTAGTGGTCATTTACATTCAATGATTTAATGACCGACTCTGAGTGATGTGTTTTCTAAACAAACCAGGGCCTCAAAGTCACTGAATCCTCATTATAGAAGTTTACAAAAGGGTCCCTAAAAGTCAGGATTCTACATCAAATCCGGTCCATTTTTATAAATTGGGTATTTCTCTATTTGCTAGTCTTCTGGCTTTTCCATAAAAGTTAACTTCTCTAACAAAAACACTGGATTTAACATGCGCTGACCAATTAATCCAATATTTGTTTGTAGGAATAGTTACAATTTGGTTAGACAAATTAATAAAAAAAACTCCTCCATATTATCAACCATCCATTATTATGAACTGTGATTCCTTTCAGTCAATGTAATTAAACATATTTTTGGTTTTAACAAACAACATACGGTTAGTTCTGCACCTCCTTTCAGCATTCATACTTTACGATACGGCATGATACAGTACAACAAACATTATTTTAACCTTGGGCTCAAGTGCTGCACACATTTAGCTGCCTCCACGGTAGCATCAATGAACAAAAACATTCCACATGTAATCAAAGAAGCCCAAGCAATGAAAACCACACAAAATGTGTATTGCATTTAAAAGATAAATTAAAGACGGATCATCAATATGTTGGATCAACAGAACTCATTTCAGCTATCTAAGGTAAAAATATCCTTAAGCCATTCCCGATAGTCATATGGCATGCTAATATCGGCCGATATTATCGGCAGGCCAGTTACTCGGTCGGGCTCTATTAGAAGACAGACCAGTGAATGCTTGAAAATGTAATCTTTAATAATAAACCTTCAAGCCTGCAGCGATCTTGTTATTTTATGGTTGAATTCGGAAGTGTCAGTGTGTAAACTTGTGGTTGGAGTACTCACAGCTGGCACTGGTCTCCTTTTATCCCCTTGGTGGTGCAGAAGCACTTGCCAGTTAACACCTGGCACACGTTTGCATGGCCGTTACATTTACAGGCTGGATGAAGAAGAAGAGGGGAGGGGAAAGGGAGGGTAACAAAATGGGAGGGAAGAGACATTATTGATTAGCATCAAAGAAGCTGGAAATGTGGATTCAGTGTAAGTGGTTTGTATGTTAGCACATGTTCAGTTTGTGGTTTCCAACATCACTTTAACCAATGAGTTCAGTAATCTCCTAAGGGCACAATAACCCTCGCAATTCCCACTGTAAGTCTCATAACAGTTATTTTTCCACACCTATCTCAGCGCTAGGCTAGCTCTTTCCCATTGCTTGCAGTGTTTGTGCTAAGCTAAGCTACAGATATCTCTTTTCCTGCTCTGAACAAACAGAGATGGAATTGATATTGATCTAGGTAAGATGGTAAACAAGTGTATTTCCCAAGAGACTGGCTGAACTTCAAAGATCTGATACATGATGGAGGAAAAACTGGCTCCACTTTCTAGATGGGACGACACGATACCCGCTAGGCATGTGTGCGTGAGCGAGCCTGTTGGATTCAAACACTGCGGAAATAGATGTGTGAAAGATGAGTGAATTGGCTCCAAGAGTGCCTTATAGGTTTGCATTTGTGGCACTATCCCACCGATCTATTCGTTTCATTTCAGTGTTAAAACACTGAGAAGGGGAATTAAAGACGGATCAGTGGACACCGTTACTTCTCCCAATGTTCCACCTCCGTTTGAGCACATTTATCAAGATGATACAAAGAATAATTCAGATGACAGGATCGTTTTAAAACCAGTGTTTCAGCACATTGTCAGACTCTGCAGTGATTAAATAGTGTATGATAGGAGGGTTTGCTTAATGCTAAAATGATGTAAAAATACTTAATATTCAATGGGTCACCTGTTTTTTTTAGGAGTCACCAAAGAATCAGCTAGAAATGTTCTGCCTACCTCAGCTCAACCTCTTTGGCTCTTTGTTGATTGATAGGAAGTTAAGTAGAGAAAGCCTTTTTTCAATATGCAGACTGCCATCGTTGTGCTTCATGACCCCTTTTTAGAAACCAATGGGTGACGTCACTGAGACTACCTCTATGTTGTATACAGTCTTCGAGACTTCTTCGACAGGTTAAGAAAAATGAAAACATTCAGGAAACAAAGTTAATATAATTTTATATCTAAGGTTAAACATTATCCGAAAAAAAGTATTGCATATACGATACATATATAAGAGCATTATTCATTATAACAATATTCTAAATGCTTATGACATCACTTAAAATGAATACATTTTTAATCAAAAAAGGGAAACTGAAGAACATAAATATTTTTTCCTTAAAAACTTTTTCCGACGGATCTATCCCGCCCGCCTTCCTTTAAACACTGAGCCAGTGATTCACTACAATATCTGAGACTAGAAAAGATAAGACAGTAGATACGAGCATCTCAGGATAACTTTAATCGAGAAGACGAACCTTTCATCACCGATCTGCTCGAGCAGCTTTGAGGTAATAGTGTTTACTGTTCATCACACACATAATTGTCTTTTTATGTTTGTGTTTTGTTTGTGGCCAGTTTCTTTATATAAGCTGAGAGGGGGGGGGGATATACAGTAACTGTATCTTTGTAAACAACCTGCTTCATTATAATTGTGAAAAAAATAATAAGTTGTTAAAAATATTTTTTTATCAAATTTTTTCAGATACTTCTATTCAACAACAACAAAATTGAAGTTAGAATGAATAATGCTAACAAATAACTGTTTTGAATCTTTTCCTTCAACAGAACAAGTCATCTTTGGGAAATGTGTCTGATCATTACAATGGTATTTTTCATTAGGTGAACGCAATCGCATACGAAAGAAGAATACAATACGAAATGAAGGCAATTAAATGTGGCCAAATTCAGCTGGTTCTTTGAGATGTAATCTATGTCCCAGTCTGCTGGTTTAATTTCCGGGCCTCAGTGCAGGGCTGCCCCGGCCGCTTCCTTCCCTAGTGGCGCGTGACTGATAACATCTTTACCTCAATCCTATGTTACTCGCTGAGTAAATTAATAACATGTAAATTTAACTAAGCAGCACGCGGGTGCAAAATAATGCAGTTGAAGAATGACTTCACTAATCACCCACGTAGAATCATGTTGAGTTATTTGCTCCTCAGGCTCCAAAAAACCCATAATTCCCTTCACAGAGGTTCACCTGTGGAGTTTCACTTTACAGGTTACAGCTATAGCTTAAGCATTAATAGATGGTACCTGAGACCATAAAGCTCCAAGGTGTGTGTTTGAGTGTGTGTTTGGCTGCCAAGACAGACAATAGCCTCCATGTAATTTCTCAGGAATGCTAGTCATGACTCATAAGCAGCGAGTGTCCGTAAATCCACTGTTGACAAGGAAGCTCTCCTGCTAGTCTCCGGTCAATGTATTTAATAAAAAGACATCCTGGAACTGTTGTCAAATGCAAATGAAGTCGTTCTATTTTGGGTTAAATGCCCGTCCCTTTAGCATAAACGCTAATGTTTACACCTCTCCTCCTCATTAAATTCTGAAAACTAGAATGCTGTACAAGTTTATAGGCTGCTGTCACTCATGGAAATGTATTCTGCATCGAGCAGGAACCGCAGATAATAAATCTCTGCATCATGTGCTATTCAGAAAATGCAATCAGAGAGAAATAACTGAACACAGCACCCTGCAAATTGTATTTAAAATATGTATAAAATAATGTGCTGTCATTGCAGAGATATTTGTTAGGTTTCATATCATGATTTTTCATGTGTCATCATTCAAAGTCATGAATCACGAGGTAAACAAAGGCGGATTGAAGAGGATGGAAAACAAAAAAAACAATTCAGTATTCGACCTTCAGCTTTACCTGCATTTTGCACAGAGAACAACGCCTACAGTAATCTAACTCTCAAGTAAGGAAAACATATTTAATCTTGACATTTCAGTGTCTGCAGTGAGTGTTGCCACAGCATAAAAAATACACCAACAGAAAACCCGACCTCTATTTTGCCTTTAGTTGTTTTTCTGATCACACTAAATGAAACCAACATATGGAGCAACATTTTCATTAAACAAACAGGACAAACAAACGTTACCAAGTCTAATCAGCACACAACAGTGCCCTCTGTTGGTCATGATGCTGCATTACTGTGTGTTTATCATGAGGCACACTCATTCAAATCCAATGAGAGGATGATATTCCACCAGAAGTTAAATTATCAAATACACCCAGCAGGTCCTGTCCAAATAAAAACCACCAAAAAAAACCAGAGAATTAAACTTGTGTTGTATTTGTTTACACTTCACGATAACTCAGATGAGATGTGACGAGATGAGTGAGTTCAGATTATCGGGGATAAACCACAAGTGATAACAAATAAATCCATTAGACAATGTGTGTAGAATATTAATTTCTGTGGCGATCCTGCCGCACTCACCCTGGCATTTGCCACCATTTGTGGGGTCTCCATGGAAACCAGGCATGCAGGTCTGGCAGTGGGGGCCGGTTGTGAGGTTGCGGCATTGTTCGCACACGCTGCCATTCACACACGTGCTGTGGCCGTTACACTGGCATGCTGGGGGAGAAACAAAGACGTGTGTTAACTCAGCTGTTAAATTATCAGGCTATAAAGAGACATTACTGTGGACGCTCACTTTGATTTTCTTTTAAACCAATTCAAGCCAAGAAAGTTGAATTTCTGCTTGCAGTCATGATCTCTCAACGAAACCACAAAGGAACCCTATTTTTAGGAAGTTTTTGATAGTTTGGTGTGTTAAAGTGATGCTTTCATGTTGATCATCCTCCCTGTAGCCAATAAACAGCTTCCGATTTGACACCAGCCCAACAGTGTTTACACATGGGGATGTTTGTTATTGCTTTTTGGACAGCAGCAGAGCCATTAGAGCTGTCAGGAGCTGGCATCTGCCTTGTCATTTTAGTCATTATTTAATCTGTCTCGCCTTAAAGAACGTTTTAATGGCTGTTACTTTTTAATGAACCTATCAGAACAACAAATTAGAAACAAATGTTGATGCAAGACTGATTGCCATAACTTGACCCGGCCACACTTTAAATGACTAAAAGGCACATGTATTTAACATCATCTGGTTGCTGATCAGCATGCATGTTATAAGTGATTGACTTTTAATCCATCATTAAAAACTAAATCTGTTTGACCATTTTTCAGACCATAGAAGAATAACTGCTTGTTGATTGTAAGTAAGGAAGTTGTCGTACATGAATTATAACCTTACTAAGTATATTAAGCTCATAACTCATGTTCATCAACTTCCTTACTTACAATACATACATGTACTAATTGATTTATACTGCTTAAATGAATGCTATTAAGAAACAAGGTCTTAGTTAATAAGTGTACTTAAATATTTAGTGTTTCTGTTAATACATGTCTATGTGTTTATTTTTAGCTTCAGTGAGTAAAGATTGCTTTCTTTAAATCCAAATTATTCTAGGAATCTCATCGGCTCTCATCTGATGGGTGCTAAAGCCTCTGGGAGTGTCGGACAGTTGTTGGGATTCCTGTTAAAGCCTTAGCCTAGCGCTCATCATCATCTGAGGAGATTCATTTGCTCTTTCA